AAGTTCTCTCATGTCAAATATATAATTCACAATAAAACATGGGGAAAAAAAGAGTATTTGGTAAAAACTCATAAATTCCCAGCTCAGTTTGTGTGTGTATGGCCCAAATATTCCTGACATTTCCCTACTGATAATGCATAGGTGTGGTGCTGTGGGCTAATGCATAACACTGCAATGTCATTTGAACTGCAAGGTCAGTGGTTCAAACTCACCAGCTGCTCCTTGGAAACCCTATACAGGGTTGCTATGGGTTGGAATTGACTCAAAGGCACTTTACACAACAATACATAGGGAGTGTTATTTTCATGATAGTCAATAAAGAGTAACTTACAGGGAGAGGAGGCTGTCACTATGAAAGGCGTAACTACTTTTCAAGCTCGGCTACGATGTCTACTCAGCAAAGAGCTAGGAGGGACATGGTCATTTATGAGACTTTGACAGGGAGCTCCACAAGGCTATAAAATATGACTTTTTAAATATGAATTTTGAGAAAAATCAGATTTAAGTACCACCTGTGACCCCACTGGCTCCTGATGAATTGGTTTCTGTGGTGTTCAAATAAAGCAGTCATCCCATTTTTATTTCCTGTCAGAGAGCGAGCGAGTGAGCAGGTGAGCTCCTCTGGTTTTTTACTTGAATTTTAGAGGACACACAGACAGTTGTATCTGTGGTGAGTTTGGTGGTATGTGTGCAAGCTTGTGAGTAGAACTGACACATTGCAAAGCAGAATCCTCAATAGGATCAGCACCATGAACATTACTGAGTAAAGAAATCTTTTGTGAATTTGGGTCAGTTTCTGTGGAGTCTGTTAAATGCCTTCAGATTTTAATGGAAATTCATCCTTTTATCCAAATTCTTACTACTGAAAGTTACAAATGTTCTAATAATACAGACAACAAACAGGAGCTGAATATGGTCATAGTGATACTTTATGAGGAAATCAATTTCCTCATAGGGTAAGCACCGGACCACAAAGTCGGTTTGAACTGAAAAGTTGGCAGTTCAAACTGTCAACCTTTTAGCTCCCCTCTCCTTGGAAAACCTATACGGGGTCACTATGAGTGGAATCTGCTGGATGGCACTTAGTGTCAACTTTTCTTTGTCAAACCATTAGGGAATTTAGTGGAAGAGTAAGGTGCTAAGTCAGACTCATTAGCTTCAATTTCATCTGTAAATCACAATAATTACTATTTATAAAATTTGTTATTAAGGAATAAGTAAGGCAATGTTTATTATGTAAAAAAGACAATGCAATGCAGATAGAGAGAGTTAAAAAGAGAAAATAGCTGTCCATCTTGTCATCCACTTTCACTTACTTACCTGCAATTTATGGTATTTAATATAGAATGGGGTGGGGAAACATGATAAAAATTAGTGCCTGGACATCAGTTTTTCTTTAAATAGAATTTCTGAGATATACATATACCAATGATTATACTAAAAATTAAACAACAAAGAAAACACTGCTAGTGAGTGAATTCGGACTCAAGGTGACGCCATGTGGTACAGAGATAAGCTAAGTCCTATAGGATTTCCTTGGTTGTAATAGTCCTGGTGTGGCGCTGTAGGATAAGCACTGTACTGCAAGGTTGGCAGTTCAAACTCACCAGCCACCCCTCGGAAACTTTATACAGGGTCACAGTGAGCCTAAACAGACTTGAAGGCACACAACAACAACAACAACAATCTTTATGGGAGAACATTGTCAGGCCTTTCTTCCATGGGACTGCTTGGTGAGTTCGAACCATCAACTTTCAGCTAGCAACGAGTGACAATTGTCTGTACCACCCAGCTTCTTGGAATGAATATAGAAATGGCTGTTTTGGGGGCAGTGAAGGCATGAAGATAAAGAGCCGAAAATAAAGTACCAACAATAACTATCATAATTATAAAACTTTATTTCACTCCTACTTTAATTAAATCTTTATAAGCACCATGTCATGTACTGGCAATCTAGAAGGAGGATATTGGAATGCTTTAGTCAATAACAAACTGCAAGCTGATGATGTGAAGTTACAGCTACATGGAACATGTGAACAAGACCACATGTAGGAAGGTTCACTTGAGAATCCCATGACAATGCACAAAACAGTAATCTAGTATTGTTTCTTCACACTTGCAATGGTCGGAAACCAAAGCTTGTGCATGTAAACATCAAAAGAAACATTTTATCACCTAAGAGTTTACAGTTTGCTAAAACTTGACCCTGAAAGCATAAATGTTGCCATCTGGTTTTCTTGACCAGTGCTTGACCACAGATTGAAAAGACTGATTCCTTAAAAATTTAAACAATGCTTAAAAGCTATGTTCAACATTGTGTAATTCAGTTATCAGCAAGGCCTTTGAATGTGTGCATTTATTATATGTGATCATCAAACTATTATCTACCTAAATGAAACAATGAAAAACTAGACATTTTCAGCAAATGTTTTAATTTGGTCCTATATTAAAAGACCCAATGGCCAAGGTGTCTTACAGAAATTTAATACACAGGTATATGCACAAGAAAGTTACTATAAAGACCATTGCTTCTTGGTTTATTAATAAAAAGTTTGCCCTCTACTTACACTAAAACATACCAAAAAATCAATCTACAAAAACCGTTTACAGTTAATTTTAGCTAAAGAAAAAAGTTTTCTTGGGGGTGGGGAGAGAAAAATGATTGTATGGTGGTAGTTTTTTTAACCATCAGAAAGGAATGTGAGTAACCAATAAATATAATGTGCTTTCTCCATATAGACATATTTACACTTGAATCTTTGGCTTATGTGGAAAGAACTTTAAATGATCCAGCCATCATTGCACATCAACAGAAAATAAGCCAGTTATATATATTTATATATTTATATAGAGATCTGCTACACTTGAAACATAAAAAAAATGAAATTTACTATGAATGTGTACAGCTTTTCTTCTTTGAGACTGAACATCTTTTATCTGAAAAAAAGAGAGAGAAATGCCACATGGGAAGTACTGATTCATGCAACATGTGGTAGTTGCTTTGCTGAAACCAGGGGAGCAAAGGCTGGACATTCACTGTACAAACACTGAGAAGTTCTCATTTGACCAAGTGGTATTTGAATCTGGTTCTTATTAAATATAATTTCTGTGGCACAAAATGTTGATGCTATAATACAGTAATAGAAACTAATTCAGTCCTTTTTATTAAGATACACAACTTCATAAGAAAAATACTTTTACTTCTTGAATGTAAAAGTGTCCCCCACCCCCCACATTAAAATCTTTCTGCACCGGCATAACAGGTACAACTGCTGGCTCAATGGATTAACAGGTTTCTTCTTGGATGAGCTTTCGAAAGTCTCACCCAACTAAGATGATTCCAGGTACTCCAAAGCTACGTCATAACAAAAACGGTACTGCTCCTGAAAGATGGCAACAAAGAAAATAAAGAAAAGTTAGGAAAACTAAGACAGAGAAGAAGGCTAATGGTAAATAATTGTTACTGTTGTTAGGTGCCATTGAGTTGGTGACTCACAGAGATCCTATGCACAACTGAACAAAATACTGCCCAATCCTGCGCCACCTAAGTACTCAACAGTTCAGATTACTCAAGGAATGCATTATATATCTATATGTAAGCTTAACATTTTGGTGTACATCATTTACATTTGAGTCTAAATAATCCCAGTTTCAGAAAAATAAACTTAAAAAGTAAAAAAAAAATGCTATTTTTGACTAAATTTTTCCTTCAAACTTTGCTTCAAATCTTTAGAACTCTTACAATAGTAATACCTGATCATTATACAAACATTTCTCAGCATATAAAAATACAAAGAATCAGGAAAAGTCTTTCTATATATAATTTTATTCTCAGAAGCAACTGCTGCTAAAATCTTGATTTATTTTGTTTCAGTGTATTTTTATGCAAGGTTGAAATACAGTTATAATTATTTCAGAATAAATATAATTGTATATATTTCAGAATAGAATTTTATATTTTGCTATCTTTTGCTTAATATTTGAGTCTTTTCCCATGTTATTAAACATTTCTTTTGTAACACAGTTTCTATATTATCCAAAAATCTATCACATGGATTATCTGTTAGGTTGTCTCTTTCTTTCTGTCTCTCTTTCTCTCTCTCTCTCTCTTCTATTGTAAGTAATGCTACAATGAACATGTGCAAATATTCTTTGCCACATTGCACATTATTTTAGAAAAGCCATTTTTATCTGCCATCTTCTATTTTTGATTCATCAGAGTAAATAATCTTTAGGAATGACTAATGGTTCTTAAATTTTCTGAGCCTTTTTCTCTGAAGATTTCTTTCTTCTGCTTTTATAAATTTAAGACAACTTGGTTGACAATAAAACATTTGATTGCAATCACCTTCTCTCGATTACTCCATTATAAAGAATTTATAAAATCCAAATGATGATAATATGGAACTCATTAAAATGTTCTCAAAGTAGATGAAACTGTTGACAATTTAAAAGGCAGATTATTTTGAATGAGATTCCAGGTGTCTCCAGCAATAAACTGGGATAATCAAACTTTCCAAGAGGTCCTACCCTAATTATCAAGTAGATGTGACCTAAATCAGTCTACCACTGTGGCAAGTACATCTAAAGAGCCCAAAATTGCTTGAAACAGCTACATCTTTTTAACAGGTCTCTAGAGATTTTGTTTACACTCTAAATTTTCTTAGCATACTTGTCAGCTCAACTCAACAGCACACTGAAATAATCATTAACCCTGGCTAAACACAAATTAGAGGCTGGTATGTTTAGTCAGAATTTATGGGACACGAATGTAGAATGTAAAAGAAATAGTAGCTATTTGGAATGGCAAAGTTTACCCTGTTGTTTTGTTTTTGTTTTTTTTCTCTTTTCCAAACTAAAGGTGGGGAGCAAGGGTTAGATTTGGAGGTCAACCACTGATTTCTTAGGCTAAGAGCGGCTGCTCTGATTGTTTTAATAAGGTTTGGTCTGAGGGAAAATCACAAAGTTTACATTTAAAAATTTTTCTTTGCATAGTAAAATGCTTAAAGACATAACTAACAGCCATTCAGCTATAAGAAAGCTGAAAATTCTTCCTTCAAACCCCTCACATCTCTTTCTCCATTTCCACTGCCAGCAACCCAGTTGAAACCAACATCATCTTGTCCAGATAATTATAATAAACCCGATAATGACAATCAACTGCAGAAGCGCAGTGTGGTGTAGAAGGGATGTGAGAAGGGGCAGATGTCTGCTGTCACTCATAAAAATGAAACAGTATAAACTAACTCTTCAACTTTTGCCTCAGGAAGCACTGCATATCTTGTGTGAGCAATCCAGGCGCAGGAAGTGGTGAAAATGCTTTAAAGGTTTATTGAATTGCTCATTTTAGTTATCTGATCATCTTGATAAGTGTAGGGTAAGCAACAATGATGTCTTGGTTTTTCTGGTTCACTTTTCTGTGACTAACTACACAGCTGCACCAGACCCGATCCCACCACACATATGTTTTTAACCCACAGACATTTATCTTTTTCAAAGTTAAATGTGTTAAGAGAATTTTAACTTTCTTACCCAGCATATGCATACCTATTATCTCTTATTTTATAAACACTCTGGTTGTGTTTTGATATTGTGAGTCCTAACAAATGCAAGCATCATAAGAACACTGTGGTCTGTACTATTGGGAACTTTAGAAAGTATTATGCAAATAAGCAGAGGTTCCCTCCCATAGTCTACAAATTACACCATCTTGGAAACCCTATATAGGGTTGCTATGAATTGGAATTGATTCAATTGTAGTGGGTTAGTTTTTAGGTTTATCATAAGGAATGTTCAAAGTATCAATTAGCAAATGCCACTAGCAGAGTGAGTAAGATATTGTATGCTGTGCACTAGAGCTATATAATATTTTGGTTAGTAGAGCAGTTGAACTGCTTAACCATTGTGCTACCAGGGCACCATGTTAAGTGCTGTTGAGTTGATTCTAACTCATAGCAACCCCGTACAGGGTTTCTGAGGAGCAGCTGGTGGATATGAACTGCCGACTGTGTGGTTCGCAGTCCAGTGCTGATTATACAATGCCACATCACCGTGGCTTCTTAGCATTGGCTAAAATAAAGCTGGTACTGATTCCCATGAGCAGGTGGCTGCATCCACTTATATCCTCTATGACAATAGTTCAACATTCTAGGAGTAAACATTTCTTTGATGGTGGTCTGAAACAGGATACAGTAGTAGTAAACTGTATTGTTATTTCTATTCCAGGAAGGCAGGATCTTTTACACATAGCACTCTAACATTACTGAAGCCCAGTACAGTGTTTAAGGTGCTTAATTGCTAACTAAAAGGTCAGTGGTTCAACCCCCCCAATCAGTCCTCACGAGTAAGATACATTCGGCTTCCATCAAGATTTTCAGTATTGGAAACCCTATGAAGCAGATCTACTCTGATCTATAAGATCACTATAAATTAGCATCAACTCAATGCCAGTGGTGTTTTTGTAGAGATACGCATGGTGTGTTATCTGTACAAATTTCATGCTCTGACCCAGAAAAAAAAAAAAAAATCCACACATCTAGAACGTACACAGCCAGATGTGCCACACACATGGTTTTCCCCAATGAGATAAAGTGTTACAATATTGAGTTATTGGTTCAGTTCATCTTCCTTAGCCCATATTCAGGAATTCATAGACATGTACATGAGCAGAGCAACAAAAAGAGTCCAGCTGAGGTAAAGCAAGATTAGTTTGGCATTTACTTAATATTTACAGGGACTTTATTGAGAATCTAACTGTTCTTCATTCAGGTTTCCAATCTATTGATCAAGTAATAACTTGATCCAGTCCACCTCACAGTCCCCACCCCAACCACCCTAAGTAAAGGATCAAATAGTCAAAGGAATTATTCTTTTCATTACTGACTATACATTTTCTTTATCTAACCACGAGTTTTAACTGATAGTAAATGAAAACTACTTTACAGTCTCTGTAGTTTCCCAGACTTCAAAACAGATAAAAGTTAAAAACTGTCAATGAAGCAAGTTTACCATTATAACTTGATTCTGAAATGAAAAATTAGAGATAATGACTAAACTAAATTTCAGTTATCTTGAAAAATATTGGTGGCAGTGGTGGTTGTGTGCCACTGAGTTGGTCCTGACTCACGCGACTCTTCATAGGGTTGCCAAGACTGTAAAGCTTTCTGGCAGCAGAAAGCCTCATCTTTCTCCTGCAGAGCAACTTGTTGATTCCAACTATTGACCTCGTAGTTAGCAACCCAATTTTTAATCCACTACATTACCAGAGCTCCCTAGATACCTAAAATGCCCATACAGCCTCAGATCACATGATTTACCAGTTTTTGTTTTTGAGTATGTTTTTTAGTTTGCTGTCACATCATTTTCAACTCATAGCAACCCTGTAAAGAGTTTCCAAGAATGGCTGGTGGTTTTGAACTGCTGACCTTACAGTTACCAGTCTAGTGCTTATCCTGTAACTCTACACCTAGGGCTCATGTACCACTACTGATGGCACAAAAAATTATTTTCATTTAATTTGGGAAAAGTAAATATGTGTGTTTTTTTCCTATCACAGCAGATATTTGCTGCAATAACCTTTGGCAAATGGTTCTGTAATAAGACTAGACTCTGCTCTCTAGCCTTTTTTCTTATTAATATTTATTTAAGAAATAAAATAATTTTTAAGAAATAAAAATGAACAAGAACAAAGGCTAGAGAGCAGGTAGTCCAGTCTTATTACAGAGCGATTTACCAATGGTTATTGCAGCGAAACTCAACTGTGACAGAAAAAACAAAACTATACTTTTCCCAAATTAAATGAAAATAGTTTTCTGCACCACTACCAGTTGAATGTAATATGTGGGTAGAAGAAGATACTCAACAACTCACAAGTGAGATAAGAAAATCCCCATAAAGACACACTTATACACCTGATTCCCCACATATGTATGAAGTACAGTATAAGACTAAGTAGTCTCCAAGATCCCTTGTAAGTATAAGGAAGGTTCTGTGACTCACCGGGGCTTCCACCATGTTTGGCTTGCTGTTCCTTAATGTCTTTACTGCATGGAAAACATCAACGACATTTTGCCGTTTGACCATTTCAACAACAATGCCTATAGCACAGAACATGCCACTCCGTCCACCACCATTTCTGAAAGCAAAAAAAGCAAAAACATTTTAGATAGCTACATTTGGTGACTATTGGCCATCATATATTTGGGAAAAGAAAACATACTCTCTCTCTCTTTTTTAATTTGCCTCCTAATTTTGCATCATGATACAATAAGCACTGTACTATGAGTTACAAGGTCTACAGTTTGAGCCTGCCAGCTGGTCTGTGGGAAAAAGATAAGGCTTTTGGCTTCTGCAAAAATTTAAAGCCTCAGAAACCCATACAGGGTTCAGCAGGAATTGACTCAATAGCACTTAACAACAACAATGTGAAGAAGCCTAGGTTTTGCGGTGGTTAAAGTGCTTGAATGCTAACTGGAAGGTCAGCAGTTTAAACCCACCAGCCACTCCATGGAAGAAAGATGTGACAGGCTGTTTCAGTAGAGAGTATAGCCTTGGAACTGTATGGGACAGTTCTACTCCAGCCTATAGGGTTGTTGTTGTTGTTGTTAAGTGTCAGCTAGTTGGTTCCCACTCATAGCGACTCTGTATAGGGTTTCTGAGGAGCAACTGGTGGGTATAAACTGTGGTCATTGGAATCTACTTGATCATGTTGTTGTTGTGTGCCGTGGAGTCGGTTCTGACTCATAGCGACCCTGCACAGGGTTTCCGAGGCTGTTAATCTTTATGGGAGCAGAACGCCTCATCTTTCTCCAGCGGAGCAGCTGGTAGTTTCGAACTGCTGACCTTGTGGTTCGCAGCCTGATTCGTAACCACTATGCTACCAGAGCTAGTGAGTTTGATTTAGGCTTGAGTGGAATTGTGCATGTATGTATAGAGGGCAGTGGGGGCTGAAACAGGTGGTAACCTCATCCTGGTAGTTTACCCAGAGGAATCTGGGCACCTTGAGATACTGAGAGATTTCAATATATTTGGAATCTGTAAATCACAAAAGTGGTTCAGAATAAAGTTCAAAATAGTTAAAAGAATAAAACCACTATATAATCACCTATATTTTGTTAAAAACAGAAAAAAATTAAATTAGTAGTTAATTATAGAATCATGAGATTTCAAAGAACAAACAAACTAGGGTATTCTAGAGAGTTGTGGTGTGGTGCTGTAGGATAAAGCACTGAACTGCTAACCAAAATGTTAGTGGTTCGACTCCACCAGCCACTCCTCAGAAACTCTGCAGAGGGTCACTATGAGTCAAAACCATCTTGATGGAACTCATCAACAATAAGATACATGCCAGACAGTGTCAAATTACCTGATAAGCAAGTTAAAATGGGCTTATTTGTATGTAGTTACTTACTAGGGTTGTTAGTATATAATATATCTATATCTATATACATATAGATATCTATATATATTTAGAGGTAGATAGATATACTAGGTATACTTATTTTTTAAAATGTGAATTTTACTAAAGAAATGAGCAATAAGACTCCCTGAAGGTCCAGCCCAAGTTGCCATACTCACAGGCAGTGGATGATGGTTCTGCCTTCCCCTTCCTCGCATTCTTCCTGCCATTTTTCTACTTGGAGTATCAGTTTCAAGAATGACCGTTTAGAGCCAGGCACTTCTCTGTGAGAAGACCACCCTAAATACTGAAACTGCTGCACCATCAGATAACCTTCTTGTGGCTGTAGAGGAAAAATATTTTCAAGTAAACGAGTTGGAACTGTAATTTTTACCAAAAAATAAGTTGTGCATCTTAATCAATACCAGCATATAAGTGACATTTAAGTCTAGTAGCTATGAGTCCTAACTATGTGCATTGTACAGAAATGTGTTACATTACAGACACAGAAACACGACTCACCCTTTGTATTGGTCACTTCCCTCGTGCCACATATTAAATAAACGATTCTTAAGATTATACTTCCTAAATAACTTTCGAGTGCATTTCCATCTATTCATCTGTACTGTAACCATTGCAAGGTACCTCTCAATCATCCTTCACATGAGTTCTATATTTCCTCCTATTTGATTTCTTTGAATAAGCTTTCATCTCCTTCTAATTCATCATACTGCAGCCATCATGATCCTTTTGAATGTAAATAAGACCATGCCATTCCTCTGCTTTTAAGACTTCTAAATGATCCCTGGGAGTCGTGGTGTGGCACTGTAGGTTACTGGGCTGGACTGCAAAGTCAATTTGAATCGCAAGGTCAGTGGTTCAAGATCACCGACTGCTCCTTGGAAACCCGATGCATGGTCACTATGGGTCAGAACCAACTCTATGGCACTTAACAACAATAACAAATGATCTCTGGTTGTCTAATGGTTAGGATTTGATGCTGTCACTGCCATGACATGGGTCCAATACCCAGTCAGCAAAGCCTTTCTTCTTGGACCCCTAGTGTGGCACTGTAGGATCAGCAGTGCACTGTGCATTGCAAGACTGGCAATTCAAAACTGACCAACTGCTCTTCGGAAACCCTATATAGGGTCGCTGAGTTGGAACCAACTAGGTGACAGTTTACAACAATAACAACAACAATGAATGATCTTAACACAAAATCCAAATGCCTACCATGGCTTAAAAATTCATCTGTGATCTAGCTCCATTTGCTTCCTCAAGTTTCCCTTCATTATCACATGTTATTTATATTCTAGACTCATTAATATTTTTTTTAAAAAAATTATTGTGGCCAAAAAAAATATATATGTAACACAAAATTTGTCATTGTAACCAGGTTTTAAGTGTACAGTTCAGTGACATTAATTACATACACCATACTGTGACACCATTGCTACTATTTCCTAAAGGGTTTCATCATCCTTAACCACTGTTCAGTATTCCAGTACTCTTTGAGCAAGAATTTTCCATTTCCTTTGCTACCAACACCTATAACTCTTAATAAGCTTTTGTTTCTATATACCTGCTTATTCTAGATATGTCATATAAATGAAATCATACAATTACTTGTCTTTTTGTGGATAGTTTGACTGAGCATAACATTTTCAAGTTTCATCCACTTTGTACCATACATCAAAACTATACTAATTTTTCTGGCAAAATAATAATCAGTTGTATGCATATACCACAGTTTGTTTCTGCATCTGTCTTAGTTATCCAGTGCTGCTTTAACAGAAATAACACAAGTGGATGGCTTTAACAAACAGAAATTGATTCTCTCACAGTTTAGGAGGCTCAACTCAGTCAAAGGGTTAATTCAGAGTGCTGGCTCTGGAGAATGGTCTTTGTCTGAGATTAGCATCTGTAGGTTAACAAATCCTTGGAAATCTTTGTGTGTCTTGGCAAGGACTCCAGGTCCAAAGGACATACTCCACATCTGGCTCTTTTGTCTCCATAGTAGTAGATTCCTCTTTCTCTGCTCACTTCTTTGTCCTTTCAGTTTTGTAAGATTGAAACTGTTGCAGATCACATCCATGGGAAATTCTTTTTGGCTCAGGATTGTGATGGGATTAAGGGTATGTGCTGTTGCTGATAAGTGCCTCTGAGTCAGTTCCAACTCATAGTGATCCTGTATAGGATTTCTTAGGAGCAGCTGGTAGGTTTGAACTGATGACCTTGCTGTTAACAGTCCAGTGTTTATCCTGAAGTGCCACACTAGGACTCCAAGAGTATTGTTGGCCATCCTTCATCCTTTTATTTGTGTATGGTATCAGATCCCATCATGGGGAATCATCATATAACTACCACATTATATTATTCATAACTACCAAACCACTAAGAATTATGAACTAGTCAAGCAGATACATATTTAGGGGAGGGGGACATAATTAAATGGATACATAATTTATCTGGGGGGCACAATTCAACCTGTGACATTGTAAGTCATGATGGACATGACTTCTTTCCACCTTTTTGCTATATATAAATAATGATGTCATGGACATTGTTGTTTAAATTATGTTTGTGTCTCTGCTTCCAAGTTTTTCAGCGTACACCGAGGAATGGCATTCTGGTTATATGGTAATTCTGTTTAACTTCTTAGTGATCATGCAATTGTTTTCAACAGTACCATTTTACATTCCTATCAGTGATGGATTGGTTTCCAGTTTCTCCTTATCCTACCCAGCACTTACTGTTTTCAATTTTTCTGATTATGTCTATTCTCCAAAGCCAGCAAACCAACTCCCATCCAGTCCATTTTGACTCATGTACTGTTGTTGTTAAGTGCTGTTGAGTTGGTTCCAACTATTAATGAACCTGTATAGGGTTTCCAAGGAACAACTGGTGGGTTTGAAATGAGGTTAGCAGTTCAGTGCTTATCCTACAGTTACCAGTTGTGCTTTACAGTCATCCCATTGCTGTTGTTAAGTGTCCTGGAGGAGGTTCTGACTCACAGTGACCCTACATGCAATAAAACAGAACACTGCATGGTCCTACACCATCCTCACAATTGTTATTTATTACTGCTACTGTGACCCATTTTCTCACTAACAGTATTTTCTCATTTTCACCAACCCTCCACTTCACCAAACATGATGTCCTTCTCTAGGGATTGGTCCTTCCTGACAACATGTTCAAAGTGTGAGAGATGAAGTCTCACCATTATTGCATCTAAGGAGCAATCTAACCATACTTCTTCTGAAACACATCTGTTTGTACTTCTGGCAGGTTTGCCTAATGCAATATGTCATTGGATTTTGTGATTTCTATTTTCATGAGCCTTGATTGTTGTTGTTGTTGTTGGTAAGTGCTATCAAGTTGGTTCCATGTCACAGTAGTAATCCTGTATAGGGTTTCTGAGAAGCAGCTAATGAGCTTGAACTGCCAACCTTGCAGTTCAAACCAACCTTGCAATCCAGCGCATTAACCTGTAGCACCATACCAGGACTCCTTAATTATAGATCCAAGTAAAATGAAATCTTTGACAACTTCTATCTTTTCTCCATTTATCATGACGATGTTTATTGGTCCAGTAGTAAGGATTTTTGTTTTCTTTACATTGAGGTGAAATCCATGTGGCAGGCTGATGATGAAGATTCCTTAATCTTCATTATCCTCTCAGTTTCAAGCAAGGGAGGTTGTGTCATCTGCATATCACTGGTTGTCAATGCATCTTCTTGCACCCCTGACTGGTGTGCAAATTTGAGTAACAGTGGTATGAACTGGTCTTCCTTGTATTTGTATAGACATGATCCTACCACAGACTCCACTCTACTTCAAGATTGATCTTGAAATGCCCTTTTGACAATGAATGTGATGTCATTCTCAGTTTGATATTCTCAGAATGGTAAGTTATAAGGTTGTCTGATTCAAACTAAGACCTGTCCATTTCAGTTCACTAATGTCTAAGATATTGACCATTATATGTTCCATTTCATTTTGATGACTTTCAGTTTTCCTAGATTCATATTTCATATATTCCACATTGAATTATTAATAGATGTTTACAGCTGTTTCTTCTAATTTTGAGTTGTGTCCCACCGGCAAATGAAGACTCCAAAAATTTTATTCACATCATGCTGCTTAGTTAGGTCAGCTCTACTTTGAGGAGACAGCTCTTAACCAGTCATATTTTGATGTCTTCCAATCTCAGAGACTCATCTTCTGGCACTATGTTGGACAATGTTAATTTTTGCTAATCATAGTCCTGATGTGATGTGCTGGACTAAAAGGTCAGTTTGAACCACAAGGTTGGTGATTCAAGCTCACAAGCAGTGGAGTCCTGGTGGGGCACTGTGGGTTCAGGTGCTAGACTGAAAAGTCGGCTTGAACCACAGGTCAGCAATACAAGCTCACCAGCTGCTCCTAGGAAACCCTATACAGGACTGCTATGGGTCGGAACCAACTTGATGGCACTTAACAACAATGACAACAATAAATGTTTTAGAAGTGGTTCACCTCTCCTTCCTAATCTGCCTTTGGAAGCTCTGCTAAAATCGGTCAACCATGGGTGACACTGCTGGTATTTAAAATACTGGTGGCATAGCTTCCAGCATCACAGCAACACATAAACTACCACAGTGTGACAAACTGACAGATGTGTGGTTGAATTTGCCCATAAAGTCCTTCAAAATGGCTACTCCGAGGTTGATTTTTCTTTAGGTCTTTCAGCTTGGGCAATGCTGAGTGTGTTCTTCCCCTTTGGCTGTCTAACTCTAACTCGCACATTTCATTATAATATTTTACCTTGTCTTCCTGAGCTATCCTTTGAAAATTTCTATTCAACTCTTTTACATCATTGGATTCCTTCCAGTTGCTTTAGCTTCAATACATTTGAGAACAAACTTCAGAGACTCTTGTGACATCCATTTTGGTCTTTTCTTTCTTTCTTGTCTTTTTTATGTTTTTCTTTCCTTGTGCATGTTGTTATTGATGTCATTCCACAATTCCTCTGGGTTTGGTCATTAGTGTCTAATATGTCAAATCTGTTTTTGAGAGGGTCTCTAAATTTAGGTGAGAAGTACCTTAAGCTATATTTTCACTCTTGCTTTAGTTTTCTTCAGTTTCAGCCTCAATTTACATATGAAAAACATGATTATTGTATATAAACAATCCTGATTATTAATGGATGTTTGCCACTGATTCTTCTCATTTTGAATTGTGTTCCATCAGCAAATGAAGGTCCCCAAAGCATTTCTCTATCCATATCATTAAAGTCAACTGTAATTTAAGGAAGTAGCTTTTCCCCAGTTGTATGTTGAGTGCTTTCCGACCTGAGGG